GAGTAATTGATAATTTGAAATAGGAAAAGGTCCAAAGGGGTAGGGAAGGAGGGAGGGGAAGGGGAAAGACAAGAAGGGAAAGGAAAAATTATGAGAAAGAAAAAAAAAAAAAGGAAACAACGTCTATGTAAATAGGGAAGGGTGGTGGGGGTGAAGAGCGCATAGGTAATAGGGGAAAAAAGAAGAACTAAGATACATCATGTTCAGGTACAAACACCCAATGATAAATGTAAATGTATTATATAACTAATATGTGCCAATTAATATATAAATTTTTTAAAAAAAGAAAAAGGAAAGGAGGGATCTGAACCGAGAGTTGGAGGGGAAGGCAGCTGACCCATGAAGCAGGACTCCGAGGTTGGCCAAGAAAGCCAGGGAAGAGTTAGGCAGAGCACAGACTACTGGCTGCTGATTCCGCATGTGATTCCTCTGGCTTTCCAGATTTTCTCAGAGCCTGATACATGAGAAGAATGGTAACATTTTTGTGGCACAGTGGGTGAGGAGATGAAGGTAGTTGTGCCCTGAAAGTCTCCAGATGACAATCATGCCACCCAAACCTCTGTCCCTGCTATGGTACTGAAAAGATGTGCACCGTGGCCACCTGTGAGCCATTTGTGCAGCACAGGTGTCTCACAAAATACTAGCTGGGAAGCACTGTCATACAGGACTCAGAACCTGGGCAGCTTCCTTTGCAAACAGGCAGACAGTTCTTAGTTCACAGGTCACATGATGCTCCCTTTTCTTAGTCTTTTCATGTGCTTTTGGTCTTTCTATCAGCATGTGAACTCCTACATAACATGTTTAGAGAAAAGAAGTAGTGACAATGACAGAAAATGACAGCACAGTATGCTAAAGGAAGCTGAAAATCACTAAGAAGCCTTCTTGTCCCGGAAAGCAGCATCACAGAGGTATACTGAAGATCTAAGGTCAAACTCTTCAATATGGGCTTGAAATACTAATAGTCTCAATATTCTGAGAAAGAGAGAAAGAGAGAGAGAACTATGATTTATGATACTTGCCATAATAAAATCTTACTCTTTAAAAAAAAAAAAAACATCAGGCTTCTGGACTAAAAGGATTTAGTTTTTCAGAGTCTTTTAGACTCTGAAGAATTTAGAGTCTCAAAGAATTTAGTCTTTTAGAGTCTTAATGTCACTCCTGAACATACCTCCCTGTCCCTATACTTTGAGCTCACCCAGGGAAGTTTCCTGACAGCCCAAAGTGGATTTTTAAATTCTATAAGCACAAATTATATTACTGTCTTTCTTTTTTTTCTTTGAGACCATCTCTCTATGTCATTTAGGCTGGCCTTGAACTCATTACATAGCCCAGGCCAGGCTTGAATTCATGGTGATGCTCTTGCTTCAGCACCTGAGTGCTGAGGTTATGGGTATGCATCGCCTTGCATGGCAACTACTAATAATTTTTTATGCAAGGCTATGAAAACAATTTATCTTGTGCTTTTAGGAATTAATTTGAAGATCCTTAAACTTGTTTTCCAGTTTAAGAATCAGACTTATGGGCCAGGAATTTAGCTCAGTGGTTTCGCTGCCTGCTGCGCAAGCACAAGGACCCAAGTTTGATCCCCAGTACCAAAAAAAAAAAAA